CTCATATAAGCCTTACTAGCATCCCAAACCATTTCCATAGTGGTACCCTTGTTCATATTAATAGCAAAAAATTCTTTCATTTGTTTTTTAAGCTCTTTCACATTTTCTTCATATCTAAATAAATTTTCATTTAATCTCCAAGACCTCCTTTCTCCCTTCTCCTGTTCAAATTCCGCCCAAACCGGACTATGATCAGTTAGAGTTCTTGGACATATTTTCGTCTTCTTCACCCTAGAAATAAAATCATTTGTGGTTAGTATAAAATCAATCCTAGAGAAGGATTGATGTCTATCAGAAAAAAAACTAAAGTCTCTTTCCTCCACGTTGCGTTCTCTCCAAATATCTCTCAATTCTATATCTTCCATCATATCGAAAAAAGATTTAGGTAATTTTGCACGTATTGAAATCTTTGATAAACTTTTTTTATCTTTCTGCGTGTCTATTACTCCATTCCAGTCACCCATTAATATAAAAGATTTATAATCCCATTGTGTTATTTTAGTATGTAAAAATTTATAAAACTTATCTTGTTGCTGATTAGGGGCATATATTCCAATTAAAAGCATTTTTCCAGTCTGTGTTAGTAATTCAATTGCAATATATCTTCCTTGATCATCTGCCTCAATTAAATTAGCTGATAATCCTTTCCTTACATATATGACTAACCCATTTTTCTTCTCCGGCGCTGATGCCACAAAGTGTGTACCTAATCTTGAATTTATCAAATATTTTTGGTCTAATAATCTGTGTTTCTTGCAGACAAATAATATCATTATTAAATTGTTCCAAGTAGTGAAATACTTTCTTTCTTTTTTGTGGTGAATTTAGGCCATTAACATTCCAAGATAGGAATTTAGTTGCCATCTTTAGCCTTTCGAAGCCGCATGAGCATCAGCTGAAGATCCTCCTCCACCTTACTCTTCGGCCTAGCCCCCCCCCCTGTTTTCTGGACTTCTTGAGACAAATCTTGAGATTGTTGCATTTTTAATTGTTGTTCTTTATAAGTTGATCGGGTCAGTCGTTGTGCTTTCGGCTCTCCCTTCTTAGCTGGTTCCAAAGTTGGGGGTAAACCCCCAAGATCCAAATCTTCTTCCATGATAATTCCTCCAGCTGCAACTTCAGCATAAGTTTGTATCTGCTTTCCATCTTTTTCTTGTTGTATCATCTCCATTTTCTTCCTACCTCCCCCCACCCCCGGTGAGGGTGGGTATCCAGCCTTTAAAACATTGACATAAAAATCTTTTGCCTTCCAGACTGTGTTTAACCGGTATCTTTCTCCACGGTAAGTCACTATTAGACCAGTTGGAACGTCCCATCTGTATGCCACTTGTTGATTTCTCAGCTCATTTACCAAAAAGCCAAAGTCTTTTCTACTTCTCAACATCTTTGGAGGGATCTCTTTCAAAACCACCACTTCTTGCCCAGCCACCTGAACCTTAGTCTTGTAGGAAGCTTGTAAAATGTCATTTCTAATCGTCCTGGTTGTAAAATAAACCACCACATATCTTGGCAGCTGTCTTTGTCTTGCCAGCCAGGAATTAACCCTGTAGATTTTATCAATTCGGCTTGCCACATCTTCTGGTCTTTCTTTAATTATCTCTGCAATAGCATCAGCACAAATATCCTTTAAATTTTCTTTGCTGTTTTCTTTCAGGCCTCTCAATCTCAAAGCAAACTCCATGGACCTGTATTGTAACATTACCAATTCATCATCCACTTTCTCTGTTTTGGTCATGACATCTCCCATTTTGCTTTCCAAATTTAAATTGGCTTCATTAATTTCTTCCACTTTCTCATCCAGCTGGATAACAAGTTTTGATAGTCCTGATACAGTATAAACAATATCATCTCTTATTTCATCGTGCTTTATTGCAACCACTTCTTTAATTGACTTTATATCCTCCTCAACTTTCTTTAGTTTCCCTTCCACAAGTACTGTTAAATTATTCATTGCTGTGGCTTGATTATTCATAGCTTCTTTCATTGCTGTTGCTTGATTGTTCATGGCTTCTTTCATAAATTCTTTGAAGTCATTAAAAGCAGCCTCCTGACTCTGAATCAGCCGGAAGTTGTGCTTTCTGTGTCACCACTGACACAACTGGAGAACCTCCCCCTCCTTTAACAACTCCTGGCTTAACTTGTTTAGAAGCCATCTTTTTTTTTTCTCTTTTAAAAAGATCTTGTTTTTTTTTCAAAGCCTCAAAGTCCCTTGAACAACTTTAAAATACTTGTAATTTATAGTCTCTAATTTATCAGGCAAGATTGTCTTTTCTCCACAAGCTCTCACTTCCCAGCAGCTTTAATCCACTCTCCCAGTACAAAGTTCTCAATAAGCACTTTCGTTTCTGATTTCACTTTCAAAACCATAACAAAGACGCCATCTTCAGCCTCCAGCTCAAAGAAATTCAGTTTGAAACAAAGTAATTCGGGAGCTAAGCTCTGTTACTTTTAATGCTTGTTCTCCTGTTTCCGCTCTGCCTGCACTTGTAATCAGTCAGACTCATTTTTTGACAGCAGGATCAGTCATGGCTTCTAGCTTTGCTTCCAGAGTCGTCCCGACTTCGGAGCTTCTTGGCAGGCTGGCTGGGGAGCTCTCACCCTCCACGCCTCTGGAATTATTCCAGAGGACTTTCGGGGAGATCTACTCTCGCCCACCGGCTCTCCTCTCCTTCTTTTCCCAAAGGGGAGGTTTTTCAGCTGCCAGACAGCCGATTTGCGCTGTCAAAGCGGCTTTTACAAAGTCACAGGGCTGACGGTCTAAGGAGACCGTCCACGAAGCCTGCGGTGCCAACCGGAAGTCAGTTATACAGACATTTCAATGTTTCAATTTTATGTGATTTTTAAATGTTTCAGATGCACCTACATCAAATGATTCAATAATGTAGAAAATTAAATTTAAATTTAAAAAATCATATAATTTAAGCATAGTAATGGAGAAATAGCCATTTACAATTTTATATCTACAAATAAAGACTTCTTCCTACTTTTCCTTCTTTCACCAATTTTGGCCTGCATCCTTCCACCTGCATCCTTCCGCCAACCCAAAACTCTCCAAAAGGAATCAAGTTACATTTTACTTTTGTGATTAATACCATGAAAGCAATGCGATTTCACTTCTCTGATGCCTAGAAATGGCATAATTTACCTCATCAAACCAACTTGGATGATTTCTTCTCAGGGTTTTTCCCTAGCACCCATCAAAGAATCTCCAAATTGGGTGATTCAGAGGCATGCTATGAAACAATCCAGCCTAGAAAATACTTCATATCTAAAGCAGGCTGGTGTGGAAAAGCAGTGCTTTCTCCATGATGCTCTCAAAGGCAAAACACCCTCCAGATTGTTTTGATCTTTCTCAAACACTGTGTAAGACATGTCCTCCCTCTTCCCTCATGTGCTGGTCAAAGCCGAGTAGCCTTTTCTCGGCAGCATGCCCGAAGGAGATAAGTAGTATCTCATCTGCAGTCTCACCAAAGTTTCTGGCAAGTGGCCCAAGGATGCTCTAGGCCAGAAAGCTCCAGAGCTCAATAAGGGAATGCCTGCATTGTGTGCTTAACCTGCCCAGCCTGAAATCAATTTCAACAGTACTGCAGGGGAAGATTTGTCTCAGCTTTCTCCTGGAGGATTTCTCAAAAACTTTCATTGCATGAAAAAGCTGAAAGGGGCTCTAAAACAAATCAAGGTAAAGCAACATAAATACTTAATATTTTCTTTTAGAAGAGAGAGATCATATTGCTTTTTAAGGAGCTACAAGGAGGTGTTTCATTCAAATCTTAATCAAAGTGAAGTACTATCAAAGTTATACACAGCCCTACTAACTGCTGTTATTTGTTGTTGCTTTATTTCCAAGATATGGTTCAAGTATGCTGTGACTGTTTAATCCATGTTCTCAATCTCAGGGCAAGGTATTTTAATTTGGGAGGAGAAGTTCATGCAACTACATTTGATGGCGTATCCAGAGATTTCCCCATATCTTCTAGTTCTCTACCTGCACTAATTTTTATGAAGGCTATATACTATTCACTTGTTGCTCAGGATATTCAGATCAGCAATTGATAGAGCCTTTATATTAGCATTCCATAACAGTATGGAATTTATTCTATAAGGATTGTGAATAAAGAAAACTTTAAAAACTTAAAATATCCTCTCCCTTGCTTTCACATCAGACAAGTAATTTTTAGATACCTCTAATAACATATTCTGTTCCTTTGAAGTTTAGCAGAAGATAAACGTTCACCCCAAATTATCAAATACACCATTAGTTGTGATCCTGATTATTTCCAAAAGACATTTCTCTTCCCATCTTCACAACAGTTTTGGTCACATGAATACACAACCATAGAGACATTTGTGGTTTCAACTGTACCTTCCGCTTTTTACTGTTTTTCTGATGGCAATTAAGAGAAAGAGCTTGGGGTGAGGCAGTTAATAAGAGTGATATAGTAGAAAGAAGGTATATTTTCTGACTTCTGAAAGAAGTGCTTTGCAAGGACAATTCAAAGATTTATCCAAAAGGTGAATCTTCAACAGTGGCTACCAGATGCTCCTAAGAAGCTGATGTGCAGCAAATATCAATAGTATATGTCCTGTTTTAAATATAGTTAAATTCTAGCTAAAAATCCTATCTAAAAATCAATCTCAAACCATTGATTATCAGTATAATTTACTTTCATATTTCTATTTCATCACTCTGAAATATTAAATGTATGCAAACATTAGACACAACCTATATATACAAGAAGCTATTTCAGTTTAACATCTTTTAGCATTCTGGTCAAAGTTGCTTCGTGACTTTTTCCCAAGAGAGTCAAGATCTTCTGCAATTTCATAAATCCATACAGTACTGCAGACCGAGAGAAATTTATTTTCCCATGATTATTCATCTTCTAGAATTTTGTATCCAACACAGCGGACAAGGCTAAGTAAAAAAGGTTTCCCAGTCTCATCAAAGCTGCAAGCTATATATATGAATGAGTATATGCTGTATTATTTAAGATACTAACCTTATTTCCAGCACCAAGGAGGAATTGATTTTCCATCTTTCTACAGAATGCTGGAACACTGAAGAGCCACTCTTCCGGCTTATTTTATCGGAGCTATTGACCATTGATCTACTTAAACTTTGCTCACCATCTCTGAAACACAATGTAAAAAAGAACAAAAGGTTGTTAGCTCAGAGATTAGGCAAAAGCCTCCTTTGGTATCATTTCACAAATACCAGCTACAAGTTTGGGGTTTTTTAGTAATAGCAATAGCACTTAGACTTATATACCGCTTTACAGCCCTCTCTAAGCGGTTTTACAGACTCAGCATATTGCCCCCAACAATTTGGGTCCTCATTTTACCCACCTTGGAAGGATGGAAGGCTGAGTCAACCTTGAGCCTGGTGAGATTTGAACTGCCAAATTGCAGGCAGCCGGCAGTCAGCAGAAGTAGCTGTAGTATTGCACTCTAACCAGCATGGTTAGAGCACCACCATGGCTCATTTTAGATTCTTTTTTTCTTCCACCTTTATTACTTTATGAGATGACAAATATCTTATACAAGTAGTCCTTGACTTACAACTACAGTGACTATTCAAACCTACAACAGCACTGAAAAAAGTGACTTTTTTCACACTTACGACCATGGCAGCATCACCATACTCACATACTCAACATTTTGGAATTGGCATGTATTTTTGACAGCTCCACTGTCCTGGGTCATGTGATCTTTATCTGTAACCTTCCCAGCTAGTTTCTGACAAGCAAACTCAATGGCGGTAGCCAGATTCTCTTAACAACTGCATGATTCATTTAACAACTTCATTCATTCATTCAACAACTGTGGCAAAAAAAAAAAGGATGAAAAATGAAGCACAACTCAGTTAACAACTACGGTAGAATTTTGGGCTCAAATGTTGTCATTAAGTTAAGGACTACCTGTTCTTTCTCCTTCTATTTTCAGCACAACAACAAACATACTTTATTTTTATTTTACATACTGGCTTCCACTGAATGATTAGAAGCTGAAACGTCCTTAAAACTGGAGGGTTTTTTTTTCCTTCTATTAACTGACTGAATCTTTGGCCATTATTTATTTGCTAGGTTCAGCTGATAATGCATTATTAACTATAATTTGAAATGTCAGCAGAATTCCATCAAAAGTAGGAACTCTCTATTTTGATTTGAGGTATAGTTACTTTCCCATAATTGTAACATGGTTGGATCAGATTAAAGTCCTTTTAATTAATTAATTCCACACCATTATTCACCTATCAGGTAAACTAGACAGGAAACGTGATTAGATGAATAAATTCTGCTTTATTGTAAGACTACGTCTTAACAGAATCTTGCAAGTCTGAAAGTATAACCTTATGACCAGCACCTTTAACTGCCTGACCAGGGTGGGTCCTTCCTAAGTTTCTTTCTCTGACTGTTAAGCCACTGGGGGTTCCTTCTGCTCTTGTTTGATTGTTTGCTAGCAGCATCTTTTCCTCTCATTCTCCAAGGTCACCCACAAAATCCATTACATCATCGTAACAGTCATGTTGGGAACACTGAAGTGCTTCCAGGTTGAAAGAATTGAACAGTGACATCACCATTGCCCAGGGAATGCCAGTGGGGGCTCCTTTCTTGTCCCCATTAAAATGTTCACCAAAGTGGTACCCTTTTATATATACTCATGGTCATCCAATTTCAAACTGCTAGCTAGGCAGGAGCTGGAGCATGTGACAGGAACTCACCTGTCCCACATCAACAACTGGGACTTGAACACGAACCTGCTGAACAACAACCCAGAATCCTAACCTTACGAACCACAATGCTCCCCCATCATAACAGCTATCAGGATATTAAAGGGATTCCTAAAATACACCCATATGAAAATAACTCTCATCCTTTAAATCCAAATCAAGTGGTATTTAGAAGCTAGCCTTAATATAATGTATAATTATCATGACCTGTACCCATTAAAATATTTCCCTAGCATGTATTTCTTATTAATTTCTTTTAAATCACCTAAACCATGGGCCTGTTGGTTTTAACTACTTTCAGTCTGTCAGTGAAAATTAAAACCAGATTGCTTATCAATATCATTAGTCTGTTTTTCAAGACTGTTTTTCAGACTGTTTTCATTTTTGCAATGAAGACACATGCATAGAATTAATTTTAATATTCCTCTTCTCTATTTCTAAACAAGTAGTCAGAAGCCAAATTAGAACCAGAACATGAAATGGCTCCTCACAAAGGTCATATTCCTTATACTTTGTTTGATCGAGTAAACTTGTTACAAATTTACTTGTAAACAACTAAGATGGGCCATTTCAGTGAAAATCTCTAATAATAAATCAACCCTATTATTACTCACTTGAGTGTGATATTCATCTTAGTTTAGAGAGTGAGTCTCTGTAACCAAATATAGAAGGAGAAAGCTATGTCCACTATGAAACATGACATAACCCATAAGACAACCTATTGCCTTCAGGCCTACTGGGAATGTAATTCTCTTATCAACCTGGCTCATTATGAACATCACAGAAACATCTTCTTTTCCATTGTTTTGATTTATTACTGGAAGAAAGAGACAGGATGCTCACGTTGCTTTCTAACTAAAGCAACTACTCAAATTATAAGTATTTACCCTTAAATAGACTATTAACTTTGTTAACTAGACAAGACTGTGAGCCATTGGGTCATCCTTTGAGAGAAAGGCAGTTTGATATGACCAGAATGAACACTAAATTGTGGGTAGCCATATTTTGTTTATATCAATGCTAAACTGTCCTGTAATCAATTAATAAGAAAGGTATATATCATAAATCGAAAAATAAATGTAGTGGCCAATGAGCTTCAATAATAAATCAATGTTTATTTACCTAAACAGATAAGTAGAATGACCATGGGCAGGCAAAAAAGCAATGGGAACGGAAGCAACTTCTGACTTCCTGCCAGCCTCCCCATTGACTTTGCTTCTGGGAAGCTGGTGAGGACCATCAGAAATCCCAATCCCAATGTGGGAATGCTTTGTGAATAAAACTATGATAAGAACATCATAGAAATTTCAATTACATGAGAGTAATGGGTCCTGGATTTTTATGCATTTTTAAATTAGCAGATTTGATTCGAAAATGATTGTGGTATTAGCAGCATTTGGGCTACTTTGAAAGTACAAACAGTTAAGCACAATGATATTTTAGTAGTATAAATATAGATTAAGTCATTAGATAGGTGTTACTGCATGCAGAAGGGTTTTCATCTAAGTGAATTTGGGCAGTTAAGTTTAAAAAAAAAAATCCCAAAAGAAGGAAATCTCTAATGTGTTTATACTGTTTCCAAGAGGTCAATAATGTCTTAATATAAAGTAAGAGAGAGAGGAGATTTGACGGTGGTTGTTTTTTCCATCCCAGGAGCACAGTTATTTTATAATTCGGTTTTTATGCTGGTTTTATACTAACTGTTATGAGCCACCCAGAGTCTATGACTGGGGCTCTCATGAGATAAATGCATCGACTGATGCCTGAGAAAATCTAGTTAGTTTCGGGAACGTAAGAAGTTGTTTCATACAAGGTCAGACCATTTGTCCACATTGACTTGTACCATCTGAGTAGCAGCCAACAACAGCTTCAGTTAGAAATCCTTCTCACATCCCACCACATAAGATTCTTTAAATGGAAAGAGGGCCAGCAACTGAATCTGAAGTCTCTGGCATGAAAACTATAAGCACTATATAAAAAAAATGTTTTGCCCATAAACATCACACAGTAAAATGTTTTTGCTTCTATGTAGAACGTATCAACAAAGCAATGTATCAAAAAGACAAATCTGACGCAAGGGGTACCAAACAAATACAAGCAAGCCATTTTACAATTAATTTTTTTTTAGAAAAAGAGCAGCTTTAAAAGTGATTGCATGGGACAGAACTATTAGAACATCCAGAGTAAACAAGAGCCACTGCCCTACCAATTAAATCAAAGACTCAGTTCAACAGATACATCTTCAGATTAGTCTCAATCGTGATTAAAGAGGGAGGGAATTTCAGTTAAGAAACCTCTGGCTGAGAATCAGCTGTTTTGGGTTGCCTTTCCATGAACCCTATGCAAGTGCAGCATCCTCAAGAGGGCCGTTCTGCTAAATCTTTACATTCCAGGCACAGATGTAACGGAGAAAGCAGTTGTTAGCTAGGAAAGCCTAAACTATACAGAGCTTCATAATATGTAGTCTAATCTTAGCTTGACAGCAAACTGGCAGCATCAGACTTACCACTGCTACAGCACAATTCACCAAAAAAACTGCCGGACCCTAAAAGAATGTCGATTTCTGTCAGCTGCATATAGCAATCTCATGCCACACAACGATATTCACAAAGACTAAGTTGTGCTTCATTGCATCTTGAAGCTTGTCTAGGAGAACTCATAGGATCAATGACTGTATATCTGCTGGATGTGCATCCCATCCAATATGTATGATTGATTTACAGCTCAAAGTTGAACTTAAAAAAAAAACCAAGCAAATTTTATTTCAAACTTCATACATAGTAATTTTAAAATGGGGCAAGGAATACGAATACATATGCATTTACATACCCGTGTATGGATGTACATAATAACCTTTTCAAATTTAATGTTTTAAAGAATAATGATAAAATTTCTGGTGAACAATATTCACATAAATCATAGGGGACAGATTCATGCCAAAATTAATTACACAGCAAATCTCTGCCTTCCATGTCAATGCCATATGAATCAGTCCCTTTTAAGTAATAAACATACAACTGTGTGTTTATTTTTGGGTGATGTTACCTTCATCTCCTGAAGCAGCATCATAGGCCATTTAAAAATAAAATGATCAAACTACACTACGGGATGCATAAGAATTGTACAATGATTTTTCATTTGTATTGAATTTACTGTAGCCCCTTAGGAACTTTCCAAAAATGGCATGGGTGTTTCACAGTATGCGGTGCAGTGGTGGGTTTCAAATTTTTTTACTACAGGTTCTGTAGGTGTGGCTTGGTGGGCGTGGCAGGGGAAGGTTACTGCAAAATCCCCATTTCCTCCCTTTCAGCTGGGACTTGAGAGGCAGAGAATAGATGGGGGCGGGGCCAGTCAGAATTTTTACTACCGGTTCTTCAAACTACTCAAAATTTCTGCTACCGG